CCACTAAGCCATCCCTAAACACATACATACATACATATGTACAGACATCTGCTGCTTCATACATATGTTTGCAGTTGTTTATTTGTAGTGTGTGGATGTGTGCGCGAAAGCACAATTTGCAAACTGAAAGTCAGCGCCATTGCCGGCATGAATGCAGACACATGAACGTACATATGTACATATGCACATTAGACCGTACCACCTTACAAGCAAAAAAAAAAATGTTCGACGTACACTGAGCCTAAAAGTACTTGAGGGCAATGCACTTTGACACAAAAAATTAACAAAGGCAACGATATAACATACCTTAAGATGCGACTGTAAATGCCGAAGATACTTATAATGAAAAATGTAAAATGGCGACCCCTATATTCGGCCATTAAAGGCCTCAGTAGCATTTCCAGCCCGCGACAAAACGATAGCACCTCAACATTTTGAACAGTTTTGACTATTTATATTTTGTTTGTTTAATGTTAATTATTTTTGTATAAAAGTACAGCAATTTACCTAACAAATACCAACATAGATCCAAATTTCATACTTTTTACAAAAATTATAAAAATTCAAAAAACTTTTCATCCCAATTCCAAGCATTTAAATTTTAATGTCTAGAATCATTTTTAGTATGCAGTTTTATAGCTTATTAAATTCTAGTACAATAAAGTGCAAGTTTGAAGTTGCTAAAAAATCGCGTTGATTTTTGATAATTTTTGTTTTCTGAGGATATCGCGCATTTTCTTCCGTACAAAGTAATTTTTTATATGGGAAAAAGTGCATAACACCATCAGAAAAAAAAATTAATGCGATTTTTCAGCAACTTCAAACTGCATACCAAAAGTTAATTTAGAAATTCTAATTAAAATACTTGGAATTGGGATGAAAAGTTTGTGCGATTTCTAAAATTTTTGCACAAAGTTTGAAATTTTTATTTATATGGCTTTTGATAGATAAGGAGCTGAACTTTAATAGAAAATTAATGAACCTCAAAAAAAGCAAAATACTCTAGACTCAAAGGTGTACGGCGTACCTTCATTTAGGTACATTAGGGTGTGCACAACTCTCCAAGCACAAAAAGGCTACTGTTTTTCCATCGGAATTGTAAATATGGTTTTATCACCTTACCGAAAACTCCCGCTATATGGTAAGCAGGGGGTGGTTTTACTCCTATTACAAACATCTTCGATAGTATGTTCACTTAGGCTTAATGAGATAAATTTATATAGTTCAAAGTTGGCGGTACCACACACAATTTCCGAAATTCCATAATAATGTTGTTTGTTTTCAAGGGAATGTTGCGAAATAGCGAAGGTTCAGCATTTTTGAAATTCATTTAAGTGAAAATTACTTTAGTTTTCGAATTTTTGGTTTCACCAATCAATTTTAATTCGTTTTTAATTTTGATTTAAGTGACCTATGCTCTTTCAAATTAAATAAAAATTAAATCAGAATAATCACACTCAGAGATGTTACACGTTTAATCAGCTGATCAATATACATACACCACAATTTTGTGTATCTGCTGCTTATTTGTATACCAGCCCTGCTTTTAAAACACAGCGTGCCAAAGCTTTCGAAAGCTTTCAGTACAAATGAAAGCTTTCGCTGGCCAAGTCTGTTTTACAACCACTTTTTATTAACTTAAATAAAGAGCTTATTAAAACTGAAAATAATTTAAATGAGAATTAAAAAAAAAAAATTTAATTAAAGTTAATTTCCACTTAAATGAGTTTGGAGAAACGCAGCCTTAATAATTTTTCGAAATATTTTGGCGGTGGAAAAATCGCAACTTTTTTTTGGCGAGGCATACTAATGAACATACATATATGAATAATAAATACATACATATGTATAAACTTATGTATTTATTTCTATTTATTTTGGTAATATTTTGGTTTTTGCCATTCAGTTTTTCGGGCTTCTTTTTTTTTTGGTGCGTTCAGAAAGCGGTCATGGTGCCACAACATGTTGACCCAATTAAGCCTTTCATCTCGTTAAACTTTGACTATTTCCCCTCTTTTGAAAATATCGGTGAGAATGTGTGCGTGAGCATATTTATAATTGGATTATTGTGTCGCGAAAAATGCTTCACAGAGGTTTTTGAAATTTGGTTTTTGTGGTTTGTGTGGTTTAATTAGGGAATTTTCATATACAAACGGTTGATTTAGAATTATTTTTATCGAAATAAAATATGTAAATGTGTACATAAATTTAAATTTGCTGCTAAATGCTGGCTGGTTCATTCATTCGATGTATCGGGTAATTTGTTGATTGTTGACTGAGGACTTTATGAAACCCCGTCAGAAAAAATCTAAAAGTGTAATAGCCTGCCATGCATTCGGCCAGGTGACAGCCTGAAAAGTCAAATTAACTGCTCACCTAAATGGAAATCCAGATGACTGACACACATACATACATATTCATTCAGCCACAAATAGACCCCTGCCGTTGACAGCTGCTGTAGCCATCCCCTCAACCTTGTGAATATCTTGAAGAGGGTTGCCACCTGTTTATAAAGTCAAATTACTACAATATGGATATCAATCAAAATGGCTTTGAAAAAAACACTTTCTTTATTTCTAAACTACATGTCGGAGGGTTGCCGTTACAAAAATTAAATCCAACTTGAATTAGATGTACAAGTTAATTTAAATATGTATCACAATACGGGTGTACGGGGACAAAGAAGTTTAACAAGGTTTGAAATTATTTTGAACAGTGTTGCCACCTGTTTACATGGTTAAATTCAATATGCCACAGGTTAAATTAATGATGAAAAAAAGAACATCAATCAAAGTGGCTTTGAAAAAAACTTTATTTCTAAACTGCATGTAGGAGGGTTGCCACCTGTTTTAAAAATTAAACGCAACTTTAATTAAAGGGAATTAGATAATTTAAATATGTATCACAATATGGGTGTCAGACGAAAAAGGTTTAAATAGGTTTCGGTTTTAAAATTCTATTAAACGGGTTGCCACTCTTAGTAAAGTCGAATTTAATTAAAGTATGCATAAGTTATATGAAATATTAAAGTATGGGCGTCAAACGAGGGAGTAGTAAGAAATCCTTAGTACGAACACTTAGAATATTAAAGAGGGTTGCCAACTGTTTAAAAATTTAAAGCCAAATCATTTTATAAGTTAAAGGAATTATTAAAAGATGGTAATCAAATGAAAGGGCTTTATTTCTACACTGTATTTAGGAGGGTTGCCACGTATTTAAAAAATCGAATTCATCTTATTTTTAAGCGGTACCATCAGTGGTTAATGTGGTTTTACTTATCTATTGCTAATTTTTAATATTTCGTATTCGTATTGATTTATTAAACAATGAAAACGAATTTTTTCTTGTACAGTTTTTAACTTGTTTTAACTCTTCTCTAGGTTTAAGTTTAGGGTTTGTGGCTGCGACACAGCCCGTAGGTCAAGACGAAGGCGCTGGGCTGAACATTTTTTTCTGTTAAAGTTTAACTGTAATTAATGCAAACACTCTGCGATTAAACCAAATTTTAAAAGTAAATTTGCACATATCTACATATATATTAAAAAATTAACTAATTTTTTTCATGATACTAATGTAGTTCTCATAAATAATCGCCTGTCTAGATTTTTGAAAACTTTTTCGAAATCGCAATTCGAATATCGAATGAATTGGGTAACAGACATAAACTCTTTAATTTAACAACGTGTGAATATTAAAAGATTTAAAGCACCTACATATGTACATAAGTGGCAAACGTAGGCAAAATTTATACATCCAACAATACATACATAACATACATATGTATGTATGTACATTCATACAAACTAATTACTAAAATACATGATTTTTTGTTTTTAAACATTTCTTTTACGATTTCATTCTTCAATGTACGATCGCCAGCAAGCCAATGGCAACATGAACGTCACCGCCAACTTCCAACATCCACCTTCACCGCTATCGAAACATTAAGATACATATGTATGTACATACATACGTAGTTAGGTTGGCCGATTGCCTGAGTGAATCTAAATTTGTAGAATGCGTGGGCGTTGGAGTGGATTGATCGTGAGCATGATTATGATGTGGCCGTCATATAGCCGAAGATGATGATAATATTCATGGCAACAGATTTTCGTGGATTTTTTATTGTTTTTTGCTTTATTTAAATAAAAAATATATAGTACATGTATATGGGTTTACATTTGTCTGTGCGTAAGTGTGATGAATTTTTTGCACGTGCGTAATTATATTAGATATATGTATATTAGGACGGATCAATTTTCTTTACTATGCACGTATGGCATAGTAGGATACTACGTGTAACTCTAAGCAAATTTGCCGAAGAAACTATGGGTCTAAAATCAATTTGGAGTTTCGAAGAAAGTGTAAAAATTTTCACTGTTGCGCCCTCTGGTGGAAATTTTACGAAAAAAATAAGTGCAAAAATTGATTATTCATACCAAAAAACCACTTATAGCATGTTTTTATACAAAATTGAAGCACTTATTTATGACACTACAGCAAAATGCTAGGACACCTATTTTCGCTATTTGGCAAACTCCAAATTGATTTTAGACCCATGGTTTCTTTGGAAAATTGGCTTAGAATTACACGTTGAATCATTCTGTGTTGTGGTTTTTATATTTTTATTTGTTTACACCGAACGACGTCGGCTGCTCTGCTAGTTAATAAGAAAATTTAGAACTTAAATACCCTTTGAGCAACCCTGCATATAGCACATAGCATCCCAGGCGTTTGCTGTTGCGCATACTTCAAAGTGGTGTCAGAATTTGAGTTTTTTTGTTAAGTAAAAAAATTTGTAAAGTTTTGCAAAACTGAGTTTATTTACTATTCCCCATTTCGGATAATATACGCTTATTTGTTTTCTTATTTTTACATTTTAACTATATCTTGCTATCGAGTTGTAAAAACTAACCATATTTCCGAAGAAAAAATCTTTGAGTGCATTAAAAACTTACCACTAACATTTTTGTATATATTTCTGGTTTGAAAATTTGCAGTCCAAACTCATCGTCGAAGACAAAACAATGTGCCGGCTGCCGAGTGAAGTACGTTGAGGAAAACTGAGGAAAAGCCAACGAAAAATTTGGACTTATTTGCGAACACATTGAACAGCAGCTTAGTTTTATTTAAGTGTTGTGAGTAGATAATCTGAAAATCAACAGCATTTTTAAGCAACTAATTACCATTTGTTTTTACTCCATTAAACAGATTTAAGTCAATAAATTAAAGTTTGAAAGTCCCAGTAGGCATTAGTACTGCTCGCCCATCCAGTTCAGCACCAATCCAACCACAACATACTAGTACACCACACCACCCGCCCAAAAGATACTCACCACTCATACATACAATTTAACTGCAATTATCGCCACGCTACACTACCACTACTACCACCTACCTAAATACAACAAAATATTACAACAAACATAGAGTAACAAAAGATGGGCAAAGATTATTATAAAACACTGGGTCTGCCGAAGACTGCCACCGATGAGGAGATCAAAAAAGCCTACAGAAAATTAGCATTACGCTATCATCCGGATAAAAATAAAGCCGCAAATGCGGAGGAGAAATTCAAAGAGGTCGCCGAAGCGTACGAAGTGCTCTCCGATAAGAGTAAACGTGAAGTTTACGACAAATATGGCGAAGAGGGCCTCAAGAGTGGAGGTAGAGTGATCAATTTATATACTTAAATACTTTTAAAACTCAATACTAGATATTTAAGATTTAAGACTATGGCTTTGTCATCAAATATTAAAGGTTTTTGTGTAAAATTTCCCCCCTGGTATAGGTAAACGCAATGGCACTAGCGGCGGTAATTCGTTCACATATCAGTTCCATGGCGATCCGCGGGCGACCTTTGCACAATTCTTCGGCTCCAGTAATCCGTTCGCGTCCTTCTTCGATATGGGCGATAATCTATTCGATAAGAATGTGTTCGATTTGGATACCGAACATGATTTCTTTTCGTCCCCATTTGGCGGTTTGGGTTCACGGCATGGACTCGGTGGCTTCAGGTAAGTTGGAGTGTGTACATATCTGAAAACTCACACAATTTGAGGTTGACTTTGACTTAAATAATAGAAGGATGAAAAGGAATTAGAATTTGCTGGCGATTTAAAAAAAAAACTAGGTTACATGCATAAGCCTATTTTTACAACTGCCTGCCTTAGGGTAAGAACATAGTGGAGCGGCGAGCAAAGAGCATCGAGCAAAGCGTCGATTTCAAACGCGTACGTTTCAATCGGAAAGCGCATAGTGAAGAGCAGAGCGTACATACACGTTTGTAATTGAAGCTTTGCTCGATGTTAGCTCTTCGCTTTGCTCGCCGCTCCACTATGTTTTGAACGTTATACGCCGATGCTGCCGAGATAAGTCGATCTTCCACTCAGCAGTCGATATATAATACCGACGACTAAACTTTGCATAAATCAGTGATTGGACTAAGTTTGATCGACAATCTCATCTAAAGGTAGGCCCAGGTAATGAACAGTTTTGCCAAGGTCGGACAACAGAGATAGGATTTTTGGATGAGTTGGTTTGAGTGAGAATGTAAAGAAGTAGTTAGTACCGCGCAGGGCATCTTCACGTATTGGAGCTAAACATGCAAGGCAACTCGAGCTATCTGATTATGGCATTCACGAGGCGATAGTTGGTGAAGGTGTTAACTGACCCTAAGTTCCATAAAATGGCTTCTCACGTGTCGCAAAGGACGTTCGGCTTCAAGCAAGTGCTTGCAGGCTATCCCCTACGCTAGCAATCTAATAGGAACTTCTTGCTCAGCATAAAACTATGCAACGCAATTGGTAGTGTTTGGGATTCGCTGGGTAAGTCTAACTAAGGCGAAGCACGCTTAAGAGCACTCTACTAGTCACCGCCTAACACTAAGCACAGCACAGCGCAGTGGCGGTGAAAATCTAAGGTTTTCTTAAGCTTCTAACATACCTTAAGTGATCAGTCAATCGGCTCATATCTGGCTTCCGTTTTAATTTCCTCTACACAGTTTCTGATCAGCTGCTACTGTCCAATTTGGCTGATATGAGGCTGGCTAGCAAAATGTTGAGGTTCCTATGATTAGGTTAGTCTCAGATGGAACTTAATTAGACTGAGCACTTTGCAATACCTCATCTTGTCTGCACGTTTCCACGTTCTGCTAAAAATAAATTGGTATTTAGTTAAAAGGTTTTTAATATCTTTTTACCGAAGATCATCTAGATCAATGATAGGTGTCTTGATAGGGAATCGCATCCGAGTCATGCGGCAAAGGAAAGCTTTCCCAGATACTTTATTCTGGCTCTATAGAGGACAGTACGGACGCAGATAATAGGCTCAACTCTTTTTACCGCTTCCAGCGAGTCACGGCGACGACAGGCACCGTTGTGGTGCAGTCACATTTTAGTCGCGTGAGTGCTGGAGGTCCAGTGTCCTGTGAAAACCGTAGTAGAACTAAATAAGTCCTTTCTGTTTAGTTTAATTTCAATTGATCAACAAATCAACGCAAGGCTGCTGACAGAAGCCGTAACGTTCTCTTAATATTGTCTTACTATGATTGTTATTGGGCCAAAGGCCCAAGCTGCTGCCTGTCTGCGAAGTTTGTTCTCGGTCGATCTGTAGTCAATACTATGTATTTCTCCTTGTATGTTCGTTTCGAAAGCTCGCTTGATATTTCCATTAGAAGGGCACTTGGAAAAGATTAGCGCTCTCATATAGCAAACCATTTTTGACCCATCCGTAAAAATGGAATTTTCGAAGTATTCGGCAATTTCATATATTTATAGTTCATTATAAAACTTTTTCAGAGTCTTTTTGCCAACAGGCCCATCGACTTTACTCAACATTCAGCGGCATCCCGTGCACTCGATGTTAACCCTTTAAGGACCATAAACCTATTTAAAAATAGTTATGATTTGAATTGTAAATTGCGATGTTAAAAAAAAGATAATGCTAATGCAAAGTTGTCATTCATATTTTTTCTTAAAAAAAATTTTATATTTTTTGTCCCAATAATATCTAGATAAAAATTATACAATTTTAGAATCTTTCCCTCAAAAAAAAAAAAATCCCAAAAAATATTTTTGTTTTTAATTTTGGTAAAAAATATATGTTTTGCTAAAATATTATGTTCTTCCAAAATCCAAAAAAAATTATTGTTTGTCAATAAATATTTTTTTTTTCTCAAAAAAAATATATATATTTTTTATCGTCTCATCAAAAACAAATAGTACTGTTAAAATTAAATTCAATGAAAATTATTATTTTAGGGAAGAAAATAATTTTCCGTAAACAATTATTACTCCCAAACAGTATTCGTTACGCAAAAATGTTTTTTTTTGAATTCATCATTTTGGTTAACTACATACATACATATGTATTTATATTTTCAATCGAAGTAAAATTTAAATTCGTATTTTGCTAAAAACAGATTTATCTTTTCCAAAATAATTATTATCTCTCCAAAAAAAAAAATCCCAAAATAATTTTTTCGAATGAAATATACTCGTTTCATACTGTGTTTGGTTAACTCATGTCCAGGTTTGAACAAAGGTACATCCTTTCTTTTGTCCCCAAAAAGCTTCCAGTTTAATTAATTTGCCAAAGTCAACCTTATAATTGAATCCTAGTCTACTTGCAATGAATGCTTAAAAAATAAAGCTCAGACCTTCGTTCAGGTCGCATTCGTTCAATGTGCATACGCCCTTCAAAAAGGAGAAACAACAAGATCCGCCCGTTGAACATGATCTCTACGTAACATTGGAGGAAATCTATCATGGTTGTGTGAAAAAGATGAAAATATCAAGGCGAGTCGTACAGTCGGATGGATCGTCAAAGAAAGAAGATAAATATGTTAGCATATCGATTAAGCCCGGCTGGAAATCCGGTACGAAGGTGACATTTCAAAAAGAAGGCGATCAAGCACCCGGCAAGATACCAGCGGATATTGTTTTCATCATAAGGGATAAGCCACATGCGATGTTCAAGCGAGAAGGCAGCGATTTGCGGTACACGGCGCGCTTAACGCTCAAGCAGGTGAGTGAAAGAAACGATATTAAAAAAATATATATACTATGTATGTATATATGAGGTTTATATATTGAAACAAGTCGAGGTGCAACAAGCGAATTTTCACGATCTATTTACAACTTAGTTAATTTTTTGTTATTTTCTTAAAAAAAAAAATTCGCTGCACTTATCAAATTCCAGTTTGTAGCCAGATTTTTTCACGCACTCCCGCCATGTGCCTTTAACAAATCAAACAAATCAGGATTGTATCACGTTTCCAAAGAATATACCAAAAATAGGCGACATTTTTTACTCAATTTAATATCAAAAAAAAAAGAGAAAAAAATTAATTAACAAATTAAATTGGCAAACCGCTTCGTGGCATTTTCTCACAGCATGAAATAACGCACTTTAAATTGTGAGTAAGTTGAATGAATGCAACTTACGTAGATACACCTAAATGAAATGATTGTGATTGTAATGCAATAATGCAGTAAAAAATTTAGAGTTATATTTATAAAAAAAATTGAAGAAAAAAATCTCTACACAAATATGGCAATTTACCATTTTTGTCTAACTAATCGCTGGCAATTGACAGTTTTTGTGTGCAATATAATTTTTTCTGGTTATACTATGTAGTACATAGTCACACTTGACTTTTTTGTATTATTACATACATACATATGTACATATGCATAAAAAAAAAACAACAAAAACCACCATGCAAGCAAAACCACAAAACAAAGAAAAAATAAAAATAAACTAAAAAATAATTCGGTTAGTTTTTCACAGCAGTTGGTCTGAAATTAAGGAATAACGTGACACTCTGGTTAACTATCGGAACCGCGGGGGATATTATTATTTTATATATTAATTACACATACATACTTACATACATACATTTAATGCACAAAAATACAAGCAAAGGCCTAAAAATGCATAAGAGAAAACTAGAATATATAGTGCATTGCAAGCTGAGCGTCTAGCTAACCTAAAATACTCGAAATTTTCGATTTCATTCCTAATTAGTGAAGTTTGTTTGTTTGTTTGTAAATATATTTTGTAAATTTTTTTCCGGATTTGTCATTGGGACCTTAGATACGAAAAAAATATAAAAAGGACATCGATAGGTTTCGTGAATCCTGGGATATATCCTGTTGCCATATGGCAACGCCAGGGCAGGTTTTTTGCATTAAATATATTGAAAATTCATCGGTTTTTTCGGCAGAATAAAGATTTGAAAAGCTATTTTAATGATGACAAATTAAAGTTTTCTTCCTCTTTCATTTGGGGCAGGTCAGATGCTAGCTTTAGCATAGGTCGCCACGTTAAGCTGTTTATAAGACCCACGCTAGTTATTATTAGGGCTGGTGCGCAGCCGCAGCTACCGACAAATCTGATGGGGTTGCCGTTGTTCGTGGCGCAGAATGTAGTTTATCTTCTCAGCCAATAGCTCTTCGGTTTTCCCTGCGATCATTTGTCAGGCTTGAGTGGAAAAGATCGTGGTGCGCGTTAGATACACATACCACATTAACCTTCTGGCATGGTTAAGCCCTGACATTCTAGTGTGGTGGCCCTGGGTCAAGAACTTCTTCGATGACACGATACTCTTCAGTGTTATATATAGATGAACGCTAGACCTTCATAATTGTCTCGCTCGCGATCTTTACGGAGCACATTTTAGGCAATGGAACTCAACAGAGTAGCAACTTCGTTTCTTGGATCGCATCTTCAGTATGCCATGCCAACTGATAAAGACGGTTGTCCCTACGATCCTACTCTAGAGTCCACCACAGTTCAGTTGTTCAGACCGCATAGGCGGATGGTGTTGCAAGGTTTGAGCACCATGGCGTCACAAAGCTTATGACCCACTCCCTGATCAGGTTCTTAGATGACTCCAGGTGTTGCACCTAACCAAAGTCGAGTTCGAATGATGTCGTCTCTGGAAAACGCAGCAGAAATAGGGTTCTAGTCCGGGGTGGAACTCAATGCCTGCCTGGAGATGAAGACTGCGGAGACATCCCAGCTGACATTTGGACTAAGGATCTGTGAATTGTCTGCTTGAACGTGCAACAAAAAAAGGCCAGGGTCCGTACACCAACAAGGTCTTGACCACAGTACCTTACAAAGACAATGTACAAAATTGGCAAAATTGCATGAATTAAATTACCAATTGTTACCTGATTCGGAATATTCCGCAGCTTTACCCTACTACGACAGTATGCTGTTTGCAAACCTGGAGAAGTCACCAGGAAATAGGAGATCAAAGAGAATCGAAAAAAGGCTGGATTAAATCTTCAAATAAAATTTTTTCCGGTCGGTTAACTTTTCCAAAAAAGAGCCTATTGATTTTCACAACAAAATAAAAGACAAAGCTGGGCTAATGGTGGATTATTATTCCTTCACAGATTACTATCCCCTGCCATTTCAGTTATTGCCAGTGGCAAAAGTATGTTTAAACACGAAGGACGATAAATATGTATGTATTTAGCATCTGCCTGTTGGAATTTTGGTCAGTAGGATTTCCGGACGAAAAAGAATCACTCCGTTTCTACACCGATGATTCTGAACCAGAGGGAAAGATATGAGGGGGGTATGCTCAACCCGACTGGGGCTAACGCTGCCCATTGTAGGATCCAGCAGGGGGATTTTTGGGGTTAAACTACGTGTCAGTCAGTGGCGGACCCACGGGGGGTGTTTAAATATGGTACATATGTATGTATAATATGGCGTCTATGTATTAAAACACCCCCCGTGGGTCCGCCACTGACTGATACGTAGTTTAACCCCCAAACCCCCCCGCTGGATCCGCCACTGACGCTGTCACACAGAAGGCAATCGGGCTGCATTTAAAGCACTTGACTCGATCACATGTAGTTCAAGAACTGTAGCCGGCTGCCGCAGATATCTGCACGAGATGACTGAGCAGTAAGCTGTTCACCTGGTATGGGTCCAAAAGTTTAAAATTAAAACCGAAATTTTTAACCGTGTATGTATGTATACTAAAGAGTATCTGGACCATTTCTAAAGTCGAGGTATTTCATAATAAACTCACTTGTTCCAAACTAAATATCATAAACAAATCTTTCTTGTTAAGTACTCGTATTGGCTTAATTATTAATTTATGTAGTTTAGCTCCACTTAAACATGGATTTGTGCAAAGCCTCTCTGTGTGTTGGTACATATACATATGTATATGTATTTGATTTTCTGCCCGATCGTTGTACTACCACCATTGACCATTAGAGTCACGTTTAGTTTGTTGTCATGTCAAAATTGTTAATTCGATTAACTAAAGTTGACAAGTGCATTAAATTACACTAACAGCAAAGAAAAATAACACAATAACTACAACAATAAAAAGCAGCAAAAAAATCAACAACAAACGTATTAGTTTTGGTTTGGCATTTTGTGGTTGTTTGAGTGGTCGAGTGACGGCCGAAAATGTTTGTTAACTAAATGGACAGACAGACGACTGCAATTGCACACATATTTACAATAAAAAAATATGTATGTATGTAGTATGCACGAGTACAAGCTGAAGAGTTAAGTTGTTGTTTATTGCCGCGACAAGCCGATAGGACATCGCACAGTGGTTCAAAACTGGAATTTAATGTTAATAATTCACTGTAGCCTTCATTTTCTAACCAATTTGATAAATTTATTTTTTTAATGAAAGCTTATAAAATTAGCCATTAGAGACCAATTGAGCCCGATTTTGGAATTTTCATTTACTTATATTTGATTTTTTAGTGCAAAATGCAGAAAAAGTAGTAAATTTGAAGAAAATCGATTCTTTTGTGCCAGTTAATAAATGTTTCATAATAAAAACTAGTTGAAAACAATTGCAGACTTCCACCAAAACGAAAAAAGATTTCAAAAAAGTTTGAAATGTTATAAAAAAAGTTTTCAGCAAAATAAAGTTTTTAGTGCTTAGAAAAATTTTGTGTATGCAGCTTTACAGATCATAAAATTTTACTGCAAGTTTCAAGTGGCTAAAATTTAACTATCTATACTAAAAAAAAAAATTAATTTTGGTGATTTTTTTTTTAACATTTGAAATTTTTCTTGTGAATTTTTATTTTTTTTTAGATTTTTAGGGTCCCTACCATTGTTATCAATTAGTTTTAATTATGTAGCATTTATTAACTGCAACAAGAGAATCGATTTTCTTCAAAATTGCTACTTTTTCCGCACTTTCCACTAAAAATTCAAATACAGGTAAATGAGAATTCAAAACTCCGACTCAACTGTTCCCTTGCTAATTTTATAAGCTTGCATTAAAAAAAGAATCAAATTGGTTGAAAAATTAAGGCTCCATTGAATTATGAACCTTAAATTCCAGTTTTGAACCACTGTGCATCGGCACGCAGGCAGCGAATAAAGCAAAGTGGTGGTAGGGGCAAATGAACGATTGGCTAGTTGAAGTGGGCTGTTAACAGGCCGGCTGTTTGTTGCAGTGTTAACTAGAATTTTAAACAATGCGAACATACGAGTATGTACTAACTACAAGCTTCGCTGGTGAGTGATGCGACAGCGCTACAGTATGTATGTACTTAAAAAATTACACACTCCGTAAACAATTGCAACAACAATAACAACAACTAAAAATGACGACTAGTGATTGTTGCGGCATTGTAAAAATTTTTAGGATTTTATTGCTTGTTAGATTTGGCCAATTTTAGGCAGAGATTGGTTGTTGCGGTTGTTCTTTTTTGGTTGCAGGTTGTTTTTTTTATTTTGTTTTGTTATTATTTAATAAAGTGTGGAAAAAGTTATGAATTTAGCCAAAAGCGTTAAAATGTTAGTGTTACAGCGCTTGAGAAATATTTATGAGCGTGTGCTTGTGTGTATGTACATACACATACAAAGTTATGCATTAACAATAAAAAAAATATGTATATTTTTATGCTGTCATTCAAAGTATTTTGAATAATTTAGATGTTTTTGGCGAAAATGTTGTGGTTCTCATGTTTTAATAAAATTTAATTTGTTTTACTTCTTTTTACTAATTTTAATGCGAATTA